ATGCATTACACAATCTACAAAACATCTATACATCAATCACATGTTTTTTAAGTCACCTACCCCGCGCTCCTTCCAATCAGGAATGAGCTCAGTAAGGGCACTGGGCTCCAGACAGGCTCCTGACAGAGTGTGTGCTCCAATCTGAGGGGCTTTTTCCACAAGGCACACTCGCAGCTCCTTTTCATGTTTGTTGGCTAGCTGTTTCAGACGAATAGCTGCTGCAAGTCCAGCAGGACCTCCACCAACTATCACCACATCTGCCTCATCTGCAAACCTCTCCATTTCAACACCTGCAAGAAGAACATTAAATATAGAAGAGATACTCAGACCAGACTCCAATGATTACTCATGTGGAAGAGAACGCCGCTCAGTACATAGCTAGTTTTAAATATCTAGGATGAAAATAGCAACTCTGTGTGCCCAGATGGTCTTACTTTGGTTAAAGCCAAAGTAATGCCACCCCAAACCAAAAATTGAGAATTTTCGGTATCAATGTAGCAAGCACTAAAAGTGAAAAAAGCAACAAAACTATTTACTGAATGGCAATAAATGAACACAGCTTTAAATTTGGATTGACATTAGAACAACGATAAGACTTCACAAAACACAAAAATAATTTTATTGTTTTATTCATGCTTAAGAGTTGAAAAGCATACCAAATCCACACTGCAATTTCTCTTTGAGTGTACTCAGCTTGATTTCTTTTTATGATTGCTGCATGCAGTTGACTAAGGCTTTGTGCACTCAGCACCAGACTCCAATGATTCCTCAAATACAGCTGCCTCTGGAAAATTTGCTTTAACTAATTAGAAGATATACAAATATAGTGTGTACAAAATCCATAAAATCATTAACCTAACTGAAGTCTGCCAAACTGCTTTTCAAGTGTGTGTCAGAAACACTGAGTGCAAGAGGTGTGATGAAATGCTGAGAGAAACTGATGACAAGAAAAGCCCCTTTTCACTACCTGTGGTTTCAGTCGTTTTCTATTACAACTGAGTACCACCTAATAGAAAAGTCTAAAAATTGAGTCGAGTTGAGCCAATCCGATTCCAGTAGTTACTAGAGATGGCACGATACCACTTTTTTATGTCCGACACCGATATGAATCAGATAGTGTATTTTTTAATCAATAATACTTTTTTTTTTAAAATATCTTGCTGCATTTTGTATAATTTCATACTCAAGTTAAAAAAAACAAAACAAAACACTCAAGCTATTCTGTTATACCTGTATGCAAAAAATACACTGCACCCAAAATATTTCATAGTTCAGCAATACTGATCAATCTAATAAACTTAAACCTACACCATCCTCCCTATTCTGGTATTTTAAAGAGTACTAAGCGGAAATATTAAGCAACATAACTAATAGGGTTCCAACTCCCAGCAAAAAAAATAGGGAACCACCCCCACCTCCACCTCATGATGCTTAATCGACGTAATCAACTTTAATTTGATGCAGTGTGGGGAAAAAAGCGGGCCAAAAGCAAACAAGAGAGACGAGAGTTGCGACAGAAAAGCCGATCAGCCGATTATTGATCAGTTTCATGATTGAAGTAGCAATAAAAGAGGGAGGGAGAGAGAAGAGGCAGTCGCTCCATATATCGGTTGTTAAGCTTAACGTGGGAATGCTTTACAAACATTCAGAGATGAACTTACATACGTGCTTTACTTCTCTCTGGGATAACTTTCTCTGAGATGAAATGCCGGTTTGGTAGTGAGGCTCCAAATGCTCAACCAGACTGCCGAGAGGTCCCACACGCCACAGCCACTCTATCACGTTACGCATACTGCTCCTACGTGCTAAGGTTATAAGTTGAGTTACACCATGTCGCAAGTTTTGTGAGGTGCTTTCGTGATATTTAATGAATCGGATTCCATTTTTTCTCTCCAATATCCGATCCAGTGATTTAGGTCAGTATCAGTACCAATACATAATATCGGATTGGTCCATCTCTAGTAGGTACTAGTGGGAAAGGGCTATTAAAAAAAAAACGCTTCTAAAACTGATTGCCGATGTGGAAACACACTAGGAGAAAAAGCTGAAAATGGATTTTGACAAGTACGTATGCAGTTTCATTTGAAAGCTGTACAAAAGATTTCTACCCAGTATTTCAGTCTTTATTTGTGTCAAAGGTAGGATGAGGGTACAGTGGATTGAATGTATTGAAT